TCCCGGATTTGCACATCACTTATGTTCAAGGAGCGCGCAATCAAGTTGCTGATGCCTTGTCTCGCTGCCCCGGTCTTCCTAACACCTGCTCGCACGACACACCATCGGTACCACTGATGCTCGGAATAGGACAAGCGAGCGCGGTTCCCTGCTCTCGTGGCCTGCCTGCCAGCTACAGGGAGCTCGCCGGAATTCGTTCGCGACGCCATAGACGACGCAAACTGCCGTCCGCACCTTCACCTGCGCCGTCGGAACCCAACCCAGAGACGGAACATCCTACACTCACAACGAAGGCACCAGCTGACCCTCCTGATGTGCGCCAATGGCCGCAAGCTTACTCGAAGTGTCCTGTTTTTCGCGTTCCCTACAAAGCCGCAGCAAACGAACGAGGAAGAGCTCTGCAAATCGAGTTTTGTAATCGCCAATCCACCTTTCGCTACGTAGAGCCTTACCTGCACATCCGCGTTCATGGACTGAGGCGCATCTGCGTCGCACAGTCCCCTGAGTTCCTTACTCAAGTTCTGCATTCACATCACGACCATGTCACAGCCGGCCATCAAGGCCAGAAGAAGACCTTTGCGGCTCTCAGCAAGCACTATTACTGGCCAGGAATGCGCGCGTACACTACTGCTTACGTTGAGTCATGCACTCACTGTCGAGCGTCAAAGTCCCTTAACCAGAAGCCTGCAGGCCTTCTTGAACAGTTGCTCATACCTTCTCGTCGGTGGGCTCACGTGAGTCTTGACTTTATCACAGATCTTCCCCTTACAACGACAGGGCACGACTCGATTCATGTCATGGTCGACTCCCTCAGCAAGATGGCTCATTTCGTTCCTGCAAAGAAGTCATTCACAGCAGCAGACACCGTGGAGCTTCTCGCGGATCGTCTTATCCGCTATGACGGTTTTCCAGAGGTGCTCATCTCGGACCGCGACCCCCGTTTCCAGTCGGATCTTTGGAACCAACTCTGTCGCCGCTTTAACATCAAACGGTGCATGTCCTCGTCCTACCATCCTCAAAGCGACGGCCAAACAGAACGGGTTAACAGCACACTGGAGCAGATGCTTCGTACCTATATCAAGTCTGACGAACGCGAGTGGGAGCGTTTGCTTCCAACCTTGGAACTTGCCTACAACATAACAACTCATTCATCCACTGAGCTCTCTCCCTTCAAGGTCATGATTGGCGAGAACCCGTTGACTGCTGCGGACCTTGATATCGTAGGCGCGTTAGCTCCTACCCTCACTCCTCCAATGACTACGATTTTCCAGCAGCTCTGCGACAGAGCACAGAGTCACATCCTGAAGGCAAAATGGCAGCAGAAGTACTACGCAGACACAACGTGCCGAGCAGTGGCGTATGCAGTGGGACACAAGGTCTGGCTCAGTAGCAAGCACTTACCGCCTTTCAACAGCTGCCCTATGTTGGAGCCCCGTTGCCGCGGACCCTTCGAAGTCATTGACCGCATAGGAACTGTGGCTTACCGTCTCGCTCTGCCTCCCACCTATGAATGCCACAACGTCTTCCACGTTTCGCAGCTAGTTCCCCACCGCCCCCGCCCTCCCGCTTTGGTTCCCCCGGCAGCCGACGCCGCCTGGCCTCCTATCCACGATGCAGCAGGCAATCCCACAGAGGACTACGAAGTCGACTATATTATGGACCAACGCGGCTCGGGAGATGCAGCCCAGTACCTTGTGAAGTGGCGCGGGACCCCTGAAGATCAAGCCACATGGGAGCCAGCTCACCACCTTACAGGCTGCCCGGCTTTGCTTCGCGCTTGGCACCGCCGCCAACGAAGACGTCTTCAGGTTCGAAACAATCTTGATCCTTTCGAGGCGTAGAGGTTTGGGCCCGTCACCTTCAGCCGCTTGCGGGACGGGCACCCTTCAACGAGGAGGGGGGAGGGAGCGCTGCGCACCGCGTGCGCTCACGGCGTTAGCTTTAGAAGAGCATAGAGATTGAAAAGGCAAAAATAATCTGTTTTGGGTAGGTCTGTTCAGTCCGGCAAGGGAGGAAGTTGTAGTGCACAGGCACTACAATAGGGCTTGCTGGTGACCTATAGAAAATAGCTAGCTAGCGACCTACAAGGGGACGCAACACTGGAGGTGGACAGGACCCTCTTACTAGGATCAAACTTAGGCAATTTGTCTGCGAATTAACATGCATACACTAGAGGTGCCTGTTAATGCGTGGAGACTGGGGCTGGGGATAGCGGCGGCACGAGTGCGGGCCTCCTCCCCACAGGGCCTAGGAGGCGAGCACCCCGGGTAAAGCGAATTGGACGATGACCGATTTTGGAAACTCAAGAATAACTGTATTTCGATATATATAGGCTACTGTTTCAAGGAAATGGGCCAACGTTAAGTCCCGATCATAGTTCCCTGCTCGAGGGGCAGGTAGACGCGTAGTCGCAGCAGTAGGCGCTGTGCACTACACCCAGGTCCGGTAAAGAAAAAGATTTCATTCCCGGAACTGCCCCCAAATGTAGTGCACAACGCCTACTGCTGCGACTACGCGTCTACCTGCCCCCTCAAGCAGGGACCTATGGTGAGCATCTGACGTTGGTCCATTTTCTTGAAACAGTAGCCCAAATATAATGAAACAGAGTTATTTTTTGTTTTCCAAAATCGGTTATCCCCAAATCTGCCCCACTCGGGGTTCTCGCCTCCTAGGCCCTGTGGGGAGGAGGCCTGCACTGGTGCCGCCGCTATCGCCAGCCCCAGTCTCCACGCATTTACAGGCACCTCTAGTGTATGCATGTTAATTCGCAGACAAATTGCCTTACGTTGATCCTAGTAAGAGGGTCGTGTCCTCCTCCAGCGATGCGACCTCTTGTAGGTCGCTAGCTAGCTATCTTCTATGGGTCACCAGCAAGCCCTATTGTAGTGTCTGTGCTCTACAGGTACTTTGCCTGCCCGTTAGTGGTGATTAGAAGTTGGAGGTCCGTTGGGAGCCCGGTGCAGTAATAGTCAGCAAGCTCGTCGGGGATGACTCCCAAACCACGCTGCGCTACAGCCGCAAACTTGTCAGTGTATTCCTTCGGGTTACCATTCCACCGTACTTTAGCCAACTCCGTTAACAATTGACTCTGCGACATTGTTTTGTCGAAGCGCTCCAAGAGCCTGCGCAGTACCGTCGCCCAGGTCGGTAGTTCGCGCTAGATACATCCAATACGTTAGAGCCGGGCCCACAAGGTGGTCAGTAAAGTACGCTTCCCCACTCGCGCTGCTCCAATCCCGTCTGGGTGTACCGGCACTCGATTTGCAGCAGAAAGGCCTGCATAGTGCTGCCGTCTTCTGGTAGTATGGGAAACGTTGCGCCTGGTTCTCTGGTCCCGCCCATAACAGCGCGCACACTTATAGCGGACTCGAATTGGTCCCACGTGACGAAGGGACTGTCCCTGGCATAACATTGGTCATAGGTATCACCTGTTGAGGCGCCTCCTTATGCCCATGCGGCCACGGTGGGTTTCGCAGTAGCACGACGATGATGGGCCGGTGTCACGCTCGGCATTTTGCTTACTGACATTGTAGAAGCCTCCTGTTGTATGGGGCCGATAATGCGTCCGTTTCGGAGATGCAACTCTTACCGAGCTAAGATATCTAGGCGTGAATCATTTTAACATTGTATTTATACTCGCAGGAACCGAAGTAGGACGGCTCCCTTTTAGGAACTTCTGACCCCACAGCGTACAAAGCTATGGAGTCCTGTCTTGAACTACGAAACTGACTGCAGATCTTCTTTGGTGTATCGGCCGTTAGACCTGTAACTTTTCACGCAAACTAAAGCACATGTGCGCACCGATTGTGCTCGTCTCAATGGTACGACTCCCAGAGCTAACCATGCACAGCACCATTTCAATGTGACCGTCCTGCCACATCGCTGCTCTCTCTGAATACCCTAGACACCTTCACTGCTGCAGGTGTGGGGAAAATGGGCATCCTATTCAGCACGCAGTACCCAGACTTCACCCGTGCGTTATGTTGCTGTCCCACTGCGGGCCTGGAGTAGCCCGCAATCACCATGCATAATGCAAGGCTTCCCTAGCATAAAATCAGTTCGATAAGACTACGTAGCGTAAAAGATTAGCACATAAAAATGAATGCGATGGCGTGGCTCCGTGAAGCTAACCTCGTTCTAGGAACGCCCTCTTGGACCGTCTTACCCCGCTTGGCCGCGGTGCTTCACCGGGTTACATTCCACTTAGTAATATCTTCCTCGTTTCTTTGGAAAATAAAACAGATAACTAAACAGAGTGGAGCCTCCCGAAATGGTGTAGTTCAACAGGGACCCATGACCCGCAAGCTCCGATGTAGGAATGAAACGATTGGAGTGCTTGAGCCATGAATCGAAGATGATCACCATGGAGCATGACGATACAACATTGAAGGCGTTGGCTCATTTATTCAAGAGAACGCAACGTCAGGTAGAAAGGCAAGGCAACCTGGGCATGCTACTCTGAAATGCTGTAGTTCCTGAGTATCTGCGAGCAGTGGTGCACATTGATGGATGAGGACCACGTACCGCCCAGCTGCCGCAGTGACGTTGTGGAAGAAACCTTCGTGGGACAACTAAGAAACAAAACAAAGTGTTCCAAAAATAGCAGAACTATGTAAGATCTACACAGAAAGATCAGCCAAGTTATACGACGAGGTAACTGCGCAGTGGGGGTGCGACAGCAGTAATAAAATTGGCTGTTGCCATTTGTTGATCTAGCTTTTGACCTCACTACGCTAGCTATAGCCTTTTCATCGCCTTTGGGTCTAGTTGCTTGAACTTTTCTTCTGATATTCGTGAATTTTCTCTCTTCATATCATCATTGTGAGCTTTGTGAGAGACCCACTGAGAAAACCCACAGCTCCGTACACAAAGCAGTCTGCCGTACTTTCCAGAAAGTAGTCTGGAGTAAGCCAGTTCTGAGGAACTGAATGGGGTCTCCACCATTGATAAGTAGAAGTGTTCCCGTATCCGGGAGAGGATCCGCTTGAGAAACTAGCCTCATGGAACTCGCAGTGTCAGGAGGGCCCTCTCCGCGACAGAGAGGTGAGGGCGATACTGTTGTGGTTAGTTCATTTTCAGCCTCTTCACGTAAACCGTATGTAGAGGTCCATAACGGGTCGCACCACAGGAGAGCGATCTCCGCAACGGCTATTGGTGCAGTCCTCGCTTCACTGGTCACCATACTTCTGGCGATTGCCACATGCCTATATCCGGCGATAAGAGCGACATCAGTGAGAGCACCACAACGTCGACTAGCAAGCGGGAATTGGTGGGAAGGGGATCCTCTCTCGCCCTCTTCTCTATTGTGCGACGAGGTGCTGACCTCTGGTGATGAATCTTCTGACGAATTTCCACCTACCCAAGCACAGTCTGGAAGCACACCACCTCGAAAACGAGCTTACGAAGGAGGAGCGACTGACAAGACAGAATGCTCGCATACAGGTGGTGCGGGCAGTGAAGGATCGAAAAGATTCCGACCTATAGACCTGGACTCGACACCAAGTCCACAGGGCAGCCCCGTTACGGAATCTGGCCAAAATTCAACACCACCAAGTCCTGAAGGACCTTTAATGCTATTTTTAGAAGAAAGTTTATCCGGAGATGAAGACCACAACGGTACGCAACAGCCCAGTCCGCAGCCGCCCAAAACAGTCGACAACTCCGTGAACACAGGAGCTGACCAAACACAAGGAGGAGCTGACTGCGCCGAAGATTCAGATGGTTCTGGGGAGTCCAGCAGTACTCAAGGGCGCGGTCCGCAGTCGCCCGAAACAGTTGACAACTCCGTGGGGACAGGAGCTGATCAAACACACGGAGCTGGTTGCGCCAAAGATTCCGAGGCATCTGGTAAAGACGGCCCCGGAAGTGGTGGTGGCATGAGTCCACAGGAGGAGATGAGCACGCCCAGTCCAAGTCCGGTGGTTGTGGAGGGCACCGTACATGCAGGTGATTCTGCAAAGTCTCATAATGGAGAGTCTTCGAAGCACCAGTCTGAAGGTTAAGACACGTCGAGGAGGGCTCTCAAGATGCCGCACATTTAATGTTCCAGAACAAAATCAAATTTTCTGTGGATGTTTTGTCTGCTTAAAGGTGCCTGCGCGCAAGCCCAAGAGATTTTTTTGAATGTCGTGGCTTATGCGCAAGCCGCAACGTCTGAGTGTCTTCTCCCAGACCGCCCACTGCCTACGGTGTCGTGTGCTGCTTGCTATGTAGCGGTACTCTGCAGTGGAAGTGCTTGGTCTGCTTTGAATGGCTACCGATGTATGATTTGTATTTCCAAGTGAGCGTATCTTTCTCCGCCGCAAAATCATTTCTCGCTGCTTAGTCTTCGAGGCACCCAGGGTGGTAGGAGCTGATTGCAATCTAAATGGGCGCCTGGGCTGTGGTCTACGACTTCTCATGTGAGTTGTTTCGTTCCCAGATATACGCAGTGCAGGTCCAACATGGTGGATCTTGAACGTTTTGTTGATGTTGTTTTCCCCATGCTTGTTTTCTCTGATGCAAAGCCGCAATGACATTACCTGTAATAAGAAGTTGAAGATCAAAGGGTCACCATGCAATTTGACTTCTTTGGAATGATGTGACATTTAGACCTGAATAAGCTTGGCCACTGAAGCGACTTTAGAGAAGCTTTCTCTCGGCAAACGTCCATAGTTGCCTCAAGTAGATAAAGTGTAGATATGTTGCAGAGTTACACTCCGTACCTACATATTTTCTCTCCTTCCACTGCTTGCAACTGGTGGTCGGCTCACCAATTTCTGTGATCACTTATAGGAGGTACCCGTCTGAAGCCCGCTGGAAGTTTGGCGTCCACAAATGTCAAGTCAATGCAATTAATAGTTTCACCTCAATGCGCTGTGCGTATGTTTTCGTTTCTCCCACTGTAACACACTCTCAGCAGTCTCCACCGCAGAGAAAACTATGCGAACTACCCACACTGCATTATCTGCAAGTTTCATTAGGAAGGTTTAGATATAAAAGGGAAGAAGCCAATTCGCCCTGTACGCCCATCTATCACAGCTACTTTCCACAAACCTTTACCACCCAGTTATTCGGCAGGCAAAAGCAGCCAGTGTTACGTTAGAAAGAATAAGGGGCATCATAACGTTTTGAGCTGGAGGAGCGGTTTGACAAGCGTTGAGAGTCCTAAATGGGACAGTGCTTGTTCAGTATACTTCGCTTTGTACCGGGGACTAATGCAACTTCCTCATGGTTGATTGGCGTAGACCCCGTCTTGTGGCATATTATCTATGACGCCATTCGAAATCAACCTCCCTCCAGCGGTAATACGCAACTGCAGAGTCGGTGCTGTCTGTGGGGTTCCGAACTTCATCGGAAGATCTCTACGGAAGTTGCGAAGGCATCGCAAAATTACGAAGGGCACGGACTTTGAGACAGAGCACTGGGTAGCCTTTTGACATTCGGCGTCTTGTCGAAATGGGCTGTGTCACAGCCATTAGAACCCACGTTCTCAAGGGCCTGCGCTTCCAAATGCGTGCTTAGTGGACGATCTGTGGTGGCCCTTGTAAAATGGTGCAAGAGTGCGACCCCTCTGTGTCGATTGTGGAAGACAGCAGGTTGACCACCCTGGATGTCACCTCGAAAACAGTTCTGATTTCTCGATAAAAGGGTTCCTTTGTCGAGACTAGTCTTAACCACGTAGCCGTGCTCTTCTTCCTCAACACTGTGGCCACTTCGGTGAATTCTAGAAATATGGGGCGGATCGGAAGAAAGAGCTACGGTACGCGAACAGATCCGTGTCCTGTTGGCGGCTGTAGGCATAGGTATGGTAGAGCATATTCTGCCAATACTTCAAAGAGCAGAACGTCATCTTTCGTCTGCGCTAGAAAGGCACGGACGACTTCTACGGTGTTCCCGTTCACAAGCAGTGACAAGCTCTGCAACAAATAATGATCTAAAAAACGAACTCCACTGGCATGGGGACATATTAATTAGGTAAGTGAGAAGATATGCCAGGTTATACGCAAAACAGTCCTCTAGAAGAATGAGGTAGCGTTTGATGGGTCCCAGTCAGCAACATTTTTCGGATTGAGAAGCAGTAAATAGCAATGTACCACGGAGGGCTAGACAGTGAGGTAGCTCGCAATGGAGTGGATTTGTAATGTGTCCCAGAAGCAAGTGGTTTGCGCTAATTTCCCAGCCTGCACTACGCTCAGTGCGTGAAACTGCCAGTCTGCATGATTACACAACACTGTTAACTGCAGAATCAATACCATCTCCGTGCCTCCTCGCGGTTGTTCACAGTGACTGAGATAATTCTCCATACTTTTCTGTTTAGATAAACATCTTCTCATACCAGCGGATGTAATCATTGAAATATGTGGTGCATCCATCTATGCTGGGCCGATGGCCTTTGGACGACAAGCTCATATTCACTCGCATTCCTGTGAACAAAACACCAAATAATGGGTTCTCAAGCTTGAATGTCCTTTGTTTGTTTCTCTCAGGCCTCTAAAATGCCTAGGATGAGACTTCTGGTGTTTCAGGCGAGATGCAACTGCCCTGTGCATATTCTGCAATAAATAAATACTCCGCTAACGTTCGGCTTATGTGTGAAAGGGTAATCTGTACAAGCATGGCTTTGAGAAATTCTCTCACGCATTGGGGACCACGAGAATGGTTACGTAGCAGTTTGCAGCTTACTACTGTAGCGTCATCCTTACTGTGACTCTCATAAGCACTATGCGAAAACGGATAGTCATACAATTTGTAAGAAAAGGAAGCCGCACCTAGCAGTCCTAACACCCAACAGTTTACAAGTTCACTTTTTTCGTTAAAAACCCAGCAATACTTTAAGTTTTCAATGATCTGTAGATGCACACACCTGGAATTTGTTAGGTAATACAACCGGACCTCCAGTGCTGGCTGTGAACTTCAACATGAGCACGTAGAGCCTAAAGTATGAACTCAGCAAGGAACTCGAATATTCAGGCAGGACTGAACAAGGGGGAGCTCGATCTTTGAAGAAGCTGTGCGAGAGTTCTCATGGTGCTAATCTTCCGCTGAAACGTCTGGGAGAGTTACCAAGAAGGCATGAACATCTCGACACGAACACGTATACCTGCCACACGCTTAAAGTATAGATCGGGTCTTCGGGCGTTTCAGTGCCACTGAGACTGCTCAGTTGTCGGTACAGCGAGTACTGCTTGGGAGGTGACTGAGATGCTAAATTATGTGCTCCGCTCAGGGGTTACGGGCTTAAGAGTGCCCTGACAGCTTGTCCGCCGCCTAGTCGATTATGCGTGCCTTGCAGGTACGTATTCTTAGAGACTCAAAAGCGAGCCAGGACGTTAAGTTGTCAATCCTTATTCTGATGCATGGCTTTGGACGCGTTCTGCGGCTGTAAGTACGTGAGGACCTGATGGTCTGGGTATGCCATAAACATAGCGGTATGACGAACGCAGTGCCGCTGCTTCGCAGCTGAGACTAATGATATAAGTTCCTTTTCATGGGTAAAATGCTTCCGTTGCTTACTGTTTATGATATGGATAGACGGAACAATGCGTGCTTACTTCTGCCCGATGACTTGTCTCCTTCGCATAATATGTCCCAGGAACATACACCTGGCCAGCACGCCTCAGCAGTGGTAAACTCAGATCACGTAACAAACGTAGCTTTGATTTTATCAGGACGAGAACCAGAGGTCGATCTGGTAGTCTTGCTGGATATGCTAAAAAAAGTGTTGCTCTCAAAATTTAGTGGCAACGAATGCAATATCTGCGAAACCACCAAACGCATGCGGCCAGCTACAGGAAAGAAGTAAGCAAGCATAAAACGCTACACAAAGACTATGCTGTGGAAAATCGGGAAATTCGAGGCAGAACAGAGGGAAAGAAAAGTAAAGAGAAAGCTTTACAGAGATTTCATTTTGTGCCTGGGCAATGCTGAAAGAAAAGCGTGAGCTCTAGTTCCTTTATTTGGAAAATTTAAGGCTGTCTTTGACGCGTTTTCTTCCTTATCATACTTTGGTCCAAAGGGCCGCTTTTTCCTTCGTAGAACAAGCTAAAACGAGAAAAGGGATTCTGTTATATTTTCAGTGAATCGCACTTGTTTTTTAATCGTGCTTTGCAGCTTTTGGTAACTACTGTACAATTCTTTGGCTTACAGTTACATCAAACATAAATTTACTTATTTTTTTTGATCTTGAAAACTTTCTCCTAAGCTGAGACAGCTTCCCGTAAGTTGCTGGCTTTTCCTCGTTGTTTTTGTTTTTCTTCCTTCACCATCGTATAACTTCTTCAAGTTCTCCGCGAGGGTTTAGATTTACCAACCACTTTTTAGCATCCGTAAAATGGCACCTCTCACACATAACGCAAGTACTCGTGGAAATAGTGACACTACGTATACAAAATTTCTACGCTTTGCTCTCTTGTGGATAAAGACGTTTACTGTTATCACTTTGAACTAGGGCAACAAGGACTGCATGCAGTTAGCTTTTAACATCATTTTTGCAAGAGACGCACTGCGTAACTTCGAACAATTATACCCTTCGCATAGGTTTACTTGGCTTGGCACTACGTCCAATGCATCAAGAAGGGGAATCCTGAGTGCTGCATTCACTTTGGCCTTAAATGCTCTCGTCAAGCCTTCAAGGTACATTATTCATGGCTAAACGCGCACAACATTCATCTTTCAAGTTGAATACATCAGACTCTACTTGATTGTTCACGCTTTTCAAATTAACTTCATATTTCTGCTTCCACGAAAAGTGGAGAAAAAGCTTAAAATTTCTTGGCTTTTACTGGTTAGAAAGGCGCAGCTATTTTGTGCCCTGCAGTTGGTGAATACATCAATGAACCTCGAGGACAACAGTGAACTTTCGTCCGCATTGCTCACCCTGATGCATATTAGCACACAGAACGCATTGATTTAAATTTCAAAAGCCAAATAAAAGACGAAGTGCATCCCGAACAATTTTGGAATTGCCAAATTCCTAGTGTGGTCACAAGTCTACAGACGGTTCAACCGCACGGGAACATGTACAGCGCTAGAACAGAGCGCTGAAAGTGCATCCCATTTGCTACACAAGAAGGGTACTCGTTTCATGTTGCGTCCACGACTTGTGTATCGTCATATCTTCAGAATCTGACGAAGCACACGGTGCGGATGCAGCGTGGCACTCTGCCTGACTCCACGATGTACAGATTTCCGTCCCCATCAGGATGTTTCATAATATTGTTTGTAATGCCACCAAAAATTGAAGGAAGTGCAATATTTGCTCTCCCTTCGTTTCTCCAATATACTTGGAGACGTGTGTTGCTACGCCAACCGATGCCAAATAGTGCACTAGTCACAGGACTGCAAAGAAGCTACTAGTACTCGCCTGCGCCTGAGCATGGATGGATGTTGACTGGATTGCGTGGAACGCAGTACTGCGTACGCCAGTGCCACTATAAAACTAACTAGGCCATGATGCGTCAGCAGAAAGAACAGTGTTTGCGTGACTGCATGTTGCCTAGTTTGTTACCTTCTAGCCTGCTCTCGTTTCCTGATCCACATGTGGAAAAAGACGGTAAATCAAATTGCTCATGGTGCTTTCACACGTGTCGGAGATTGCGTCGGCACTGCAGAATCGCTATGTTTAATGTGATGCCGCAGCAACCATTCGGCCAGCTGCTAGCTACGGCTCTCCCTACAGATGTGGCATAAAACAAAGAGATGACCATAAAATGCAATGGCCAGGGCCATACTGACTTGTGCAGACACAGTGCCGAGAAAAGGGCCGATCGATGGAAAGCAACAAAACAGATTAAGATCTGGTGCGCTGAAGCCAGCAGCAAAGAAAATCTGCTCGCGGTACAACGCACTAGCGAAACGGTGCAAAGTTTCCCGTGGTTCTTCGGCCCGGATCCCTAAAGCCGATAAAGGACGCTCTCCGTGCCGTGCACTCGGTCTTTAGTATTCCTCGCCTGTGACCCCTCAATCGCCGAGGTCCCAAACTTCCAGACGCTTAATTTTCTTATGAAGACTATCCAGAAATAGCTTGCAAAGCTCTAGAAGGCGACATGACAAGTGACTACCTGTTCTTCTGTTACCTACGCCCACATACCTTGAATAGCGGCAGTTTCCGCAAAGGTTTTTCGTCAATTAAGAGCTGCCTAAATATAGTGCATTGTTGTCCTGTCTCCAGGGCTCCCAACATGGATCTCTAAACCATGAGCGACAGTGTAATTTGAAAAAAATCTCCTGTTTCAACATTACTACATCACGTGGTTGAGGACGCTTCCCTTTCCGGTATTCATCGATAGCAGATATAAGTCGCTTAACGAGATCAGAGAGACCACGTGATTTTGAACTGGCATAGGACTTTAAGTAGCCAATATGTAGATACTTTCCCATCAGCTTGTCCCACCATGAGTCCTTCTCCATTGGCGGCCCGACCACTTCACAGATGCACCACAAGTAGTCCGCGACAAGAAAACGACGTCCCAACCCTTGTGCTACTTTCCAGGAAATGTCCGACCCAGTGCCAATGCTTGTTGACCAAACCACTTCGTTTAGGAGCTTTTCTCCTAGTTTTATGAGGGTTACAAGCTCTTTTTCTTCGAGTTCAGGCTTCACTAGCAATTCGCGAATAGGCATTAGCAAATCAACAAGTTTTTCACGGCAATTGTTGAACAATGCCTTTTCCCAAGAAAACCTCTCATGTTCTAGTTTTTGGCTGACCTTCGGTAGTCGCCAGTATGGGTGTTGTCTGCACGCCTCATCTGAAATGACGGCTTCCCTAGTTGAGGTTTCACGAGATCCAGATGCTGCTCTTGCCTTCAACATGAACGCACATACAAGAACAACCGACCAGCGACGGACCAGGAAACTGAATGCGCGGAAAATAATGGCAGGGCCAAACTGATCACAAAGACGAATAAGCGAAATCATTGCTTAAAACTGCTGTCACTATGACCAAAACGACAGTAGCATGCACCACTATCTTACTAGTGACCATGAGACTTCATCTGCTGGGAAACTCAGCTGCTAAAACAACCCGATATCTCACACTGAATAATTTGCACCAGCGGCGTTTCGTAACGATCAGAGTCAGCCACTTAGTTACTGCTACATGAATATTGATTGGTGATGTCACACGTATCAACACTATCGCAACCACGAAAGGCAGATAAAAGTGAACTAAGCAGTAGCCGCCTAGTTCAACTGCACACATCTGGAAGCTGCATTGTTGGTAGTATAGGAAGCTAGAGACTCACCTGACAATTTGTAGGCGGAAGCGCTGCGGATACCATGGTCGCATTCGTGGGATCATAAAATGTGGGCAAAAATGCAAAGGCACTATTCCATGGCTCTATGCTGGAACCGAGAAGTACCTGAAAACAGGGATAATGTAAGTACAGTATCAAATTTTACTGGCTGAACTGGCGCGACTGGGGAAACAGCAAGAACACTTTATAGAGACTAAATCTATACTGATGAATCATGCAGTTGCAGTAGTTTTCTACACTGAACGCGCTGCTTTCTCCATTTAGGGTTACGCCAATGTGTGGAGCTGACATTTTGCTGGGCATTGGGCGCGCTGTCATGAGTTGTAAAGTCTGGAACGTATGGGGGCACTAAAGGGGGGGCACTCCCCTGCACCGGCATCATCACATTGACAACTTGTCCATAATCCTGCCCAGGAATAAAATGATGTTTCTCCGAAGACCTTCCAGACTGAAGAATGCCTACTCCTTGGGTGCTGTGGTTCGCCAGCAAGCTGGGGTCTGAGCCAAAGCCTCCATTTCCTGAACTGCCAACTGCAAAGCCAGGAAGCAGATTCCTGCTATTTTTCTGCCCCACGGCGATGTTTGGTGATGAATTTCCCATCTGGTCCAGCAGGTGAGCAAGCCACTTATCACCCTCCCTTGACTTCAGCTCACCGCACATGGTGTCGATGTTTTCCTCGGAACTCAATTCTTCGAAGGGCGAAGCTGTCAGTGTGTCACCACTGTAGGGACTTCCGCCTTGTTCACAGTTGTCACGTACTTTGCATTCTAGGTCTGGATATGTAGAATCTGGAATGCGTGACGGCAGTCGACACACTTCACATCCTACGTTTCGAAATGTAGAATGTGGAATGTGTGACGGCAGTGGATAGGGCGGAAGTCCCTGCAGTGGCGCCATATTAACGGCTTCGCCCTTACATTGTCCAGAAAACAGATATTTACTTCCAGCAGTCTCACCAGGCTGAAGGATGCCTGCGTTTTGAATACCTTGGCTGCCTTCATTTGCTAGCTCGTCAAAGGGCAAGCCAACGGCTTCCTTCCTTGAACTGTCAAGTGCAAGTCGAGGATGCAGATTCCTGCTATTTTGCTGTTCCACGGCGCTGCTTGGTGATGAATTTCCCAATTGGTCCAGTTGAGCAAACCACTCATCACACTCTCTTGCCTTGGGGCCACCGCACAGCATGGCTCCGACGTTTTGCTTGGAACGCAAGTCTTTTTCTTGAGACGTAGATTCTGGGATACGTGGCGGCAGTGAATAGGGCGGAAGTCCCTGCAGTGGCGCCATGCTGACGGCGTCGCCATCACATTGTCCAGAAATCAAGTAGTTACTTCCCACAGTCTCATCAGGCTGAAGGACGCCTGCGTTTTGAATATCTTGGATGCCTTGATTGGTCAGCGCGTCGAACGGCAGGCCGATACCTTCCTCCCTTGAGCTGTCAAGTGCAAAATCAAGATGCTGCCCATTGCTATTTTGCTGTTCCACGGTGCCGCCTGGTAAGTAATATTCCAACTCCATTAACAGGGTAAGGAGCAGCTCATCAGAAGTTGATTCGTAATTACTGCACAGTGTGGCGTTGACGCTTTTTTGAGAATTCAATCGTATGTCGTGGGATGTGGGATCTGGAATGTGTGACGGCGGAAGGAATGCTGGAAGCTCCTGCAGTGGCTCCGTATTGGCCGCTTCAGGGCAATGATTAGGAGGCAAATTGTAACTCTCCAAAAAATTTTCGAGCTCAAGGATGTCCGCTCCTTGGATGCCTTGCTCACCGAGCTCACAGGATAAAACAGCTGCCCCTTCACCTGAAGTGCCTCTCGCAACGTCGCTAAGTTTCACCTCACCGTTGTTCTGCTCCGACACGCAGTCTGGTGAAGCATCTTCTACGTCGAGCAGAGAGTTGAAAGGCCAGCTATTAGGATTTCCTGGCATCATGGTGCTCCCGAACTCAGCCATTGTCTCCTCAGCTGTTCCACTCAACTCTAACTTTCGGTTACTCATGAATTCATTCGGCGTGGCGTGCAGATGGTCTGAGAAGTTGCCAGCAGGCGCTGAAGTGCGCTTCTTGCTTGGAGGTTGTAGCTCCATGAAGGGATCTGGTGAGTCTGCGACTTGCGTTGATGGCAGTGTGTCCAGCATCCAGGGATCCTGCATTTCCCAGTATCCTTCCCCATCGATAGGGCTCTTACGCTTCCTCAGCCTGCTTTCTCTGTTATTTTCTGTGGGCGGTAACTCCTCCCAGGCCGCTGCGGAATATGTACGGCCCACGGTATTTTCATCGTAAACCGGAATATTTGCTGATAGAAACTGCTCGCATTCCTCCGCAGACTGTCTGAAGCCGAATATATTTGTTCCGTCATCGCCAATGCTTGCGAGTCGCCGCCGTAGCAGTCCTGGCGGTTTCCCTTTGCTCCTTGAAGAAAGACAAAAGTAGACAAAAAGGACGGGAAGGAGCAATGTAGTAGCAGCAAACACATTTCTTATTAACTTTGACCTATTAGGAACAGAAGAAGGGGAAGTAGCGAAGTGTACGACACGGTTGTCGTTTTGCATCGACGCCGCCTCAGCCGTGGATGCAGCATGATCCTCCTGTTCCGCAGCTGAGGGGAGCTTTTGAGCCCATGGTAAGATGTGCATGTCCCAGAAAACAGCAGTATCTTCTACTCTTCACACTGAGCAAAGGTACGGAGTTGTCTAGATAAAGCGGGGAAGGACAAAGATCGCCAGACGAGCTTTTGGTGTACTGTGGCAGCTGCGCCATGAGAACGAACCGCGTCCCGTGACAGCGCACTGTGACGATGTATGGAGACCACTTTCAGTTGAAATGTACTTTGAAACAAAGGAATTACTTCAATATGCAAAGTAGCAAGGGAAAAAGGGCTACTTTTGTTCGCAGTGCACCGATAGGTTCATGAGGATCTAAGGGCATCGATGCACACTGGGATCTGGTGATTGATTCGCCGGTGAGCCCGTGTCGTCACACTCGCCAGGCCATAGTTACTCGTTAAGGTATTCATGATTCTTGGTTTCTAAGACTTAATTTTCGACCAAATAAAGCATAAGTGGTGTTCTTATCTTTGCAGGGTACTCAGGTGCTCTCCTTTCATAGAAAGTCAGCTGTTTCTGGAAGGCTGCTGAGTCGCGCACTGCCATTTGTCGCCAATGACCACCCCAATCTGGCTTTGGCCAGTTCCAGGGCATACAGACTCTCATATAGTTTTCTTTTAGAAGTATATGGTTTTAACTGTCTGCGTAAGCGTGCTGCGAAGTTTGGGACGCTTCGCATCATTGAACAGCTTAATCAGGCGCTCGGGCAACTCAACGATTGCAGCTTTCCAAAGCATTGACACTGTGACACTCATGCGTTGCCATGCGTAACTCATCATCCTTAAGGTTTTTCAAAGACCTCACCAAAGCCGTACTGCGGCAAACATTACAGGCTTCGCTACTCCCGAGGCACCACTACGCTTCAGCACGCAAAAAACTTGGAAAGAAACCACAAGCAGCTCCAGCTCAGAAACACAGACAGATAGGTTCTATGCCAATAGAGAGAAAGTGAGAACCAGTTAAAGGAGAGATGGCTACTGTGGTGCCAGGATTGAGATACGGAGCCCACGGAGTCCTAGTCATGACTAAATACATCGCGGGAAAAGTTTCGGTCGAGTCCGAAAGAATTAATTGGGAAAGTAGGCTAGTCACCACAGGCGATGGAGATGCTCAATTGGGTAAGAATGCAAGCAAGGCTCTGGGGCTCAGCATGGGGGGACTAATGCGTGTCCTCGCAACCGTGATCATTAAAATCAGGCGAGTACGTTATTTAAAACTGTGTCTTTCATCTTAAATGCACTAGTGGAGCAGGTTTGCCGCTTTAATCATCACGCAGAGTTGCGTGGTCACTCTAGATGTCTTGCAGGAGACAAATGTTTGGACGCGTGGTGCACTGCACTGTGCGCTACAGTCTGCACCTTCGCCAGCATTTGTTTGCAAATTAAAGAGGCTGCAAGCCAATGGCCTTGTTCTTGCTGTACGGAGGGGTCTGTAGGGCGGTGGCCACCAGCAGAATTAAGCCTGCATTTAAAGTTTCTCTAGCCGCTATAGTGTACTCCAAGTTTTTTGGAACAGATACCAATGCTTCAGCCGCTATCCTGGTTACACGCATGCATTTGCCACAGGCCGCCGAGGCCTCTGTCCTCATGCGACTAATATTTGTGATTCTACAGATACAACTCATCCTTGCACCAGGCATACGTGGAAATTTTTTCCGTTAGTCAGCCTCTTGTTGCTTTGTTTCCTCGTCCGCTTCCCGTGTCCGGAATAAGTCCACCGGGAAACCAAGGAATTGCATGCAAAAAAAGACTCCCTGGGAATTGCAAGCTTTAGGCAGATGGAAGCCAGCCTACAGATTAATGAAGAGTATAATGTCAAATATCTCACTGTAAATCTACAGTCATGTATGTGTTCTTTAGGGCACGCTGACGTCGCAAGATGGCTCTCAGGGCTAGCAATAAAAAGCCGGGGAAGGATTATCGGCCGAATTTTCACTTCTGTCTCTGTTTGTAGAAGCAAAATTAGTGACAGAAACCGCAGGCCGATAGCTGATGTTAAGCAGCAGCAACGGATTTGCCCTTGCCGAGGTGAAGAAGTCAGACAAAACCAGAGGCGCAGATGGCGGCTGGCCCGACAGGTCCCTGTGCCAAAGTACTTCAGCTGGCTCGTGCCCGTGCATCACTGGCGCCACCTATGCAAATCCAATTCCTCCAAACCTCTGAATACCTCTACTGAATGAAAGGTTCATTATTTAGTGCAGAGGAATGTCTGTCCGTTTTGAACTCATCCACTGCATCGATGTTCGGGCAGTTCACTGTGCTGCGGACTGGGACGAACTGTGAAGCTCGCTATCCAGGTGCCCTGATGATAATTCGAATTAAAAAGAAAGATATGCAGGAAGGAGTTAGTTTGAATAGTTTTCTTCGACGGACCTCCTATAGGCTGTGATTCGAAACGCCGCACAGACAATCTTATCAAAGCCGGATATTTTCGATATCTCTGCAGCAGTGCCTGTTGGTTCTTTTTCGAGGAGTTGCCTTGCAATACTGGTGCAACACATTACGAATGCCTTCAAGAAGTCTGCAGTGCCAGCCATAACACGTGGTAGGCCCGAAAAGCTTGATTGGCTTTGATACCTCTGTGAGTGTCAACTGCGGATGATACAGAGTGCGTCCCTAGCAGGCAAGCCTGAAATTCTTTCTCTTAAAATCAAAACCACACGAAGATCCCTAGTTTTATCTGCGGAAGAGCGTCCAATTTGCTAGTTGAGGTAGGGCATAACTTGAAATTTTAAATGAAAACAGATTCACTTTTTCTTTGACTGAATGCGTCACAGCTTTCTTTATTCACATCTTACGAAGCATTGGCCGCTGCCTTTGTACCTGTTGTCAAGAGATGTCATACTGCTTGTAGATCTTAAGGCATCGGTGGGTTCCTTTCGACCATCACCCAAAAAAGCACAAAACTGTCAAGTTCTGAGCACCATTTGTAGCTTAGTTGTGCTTCTGTTGGAAGTGGTGGTCATCATTCCTCACATTTTTGATAGAGAAAAAATATCACTGTCCGCCTGTCAGGGAATCATATGGAACACCACCTCAGTACCGTCTCTATTAAGTCTAATTCTCCAGAAGAAATAATTTTGAATCTAAACAGTCGAAGGTAGTTTTAAAAAAACAGGCATATGCCGTGCCTCTAGTTCAGAGGCGATGTGCGTATCGAGGTGCATATGCTGGGGCATGATCCATCACCTTTGACAAGTCTCTGGTCTGAAGACTGCCCTAAAATTCTTTTATTATTGTGTCTAACACACAGCTTCTGATCCACGGCTGCATCTGTGGCTCCGAAGGAAAGTCCAACCTGCCAGTTCTGTCAACATATCATTTGCAAGCCCCTATATGAAACTCTGGCAAAATTTAGCGGCTAAGCTCTCACTCATATATACTGCTAAGCAAGCCTGCGGCCTCCAGTTCTTCACGTATTCTTCAACTAACACGGTATTGCTCAAATCTTTCTCAAAGCAGTAAGTGACGCAGGCAAATTCGATATCCACATGCATATGGTTTACGCTACGTTAATTTGAGAATTGCCATCCGTTGTTTGGACTTCTGCAAACAGTGCGGAGGGCATGCGCTTCCCAAGATGCACCACTGTTCGCCTAATACGTATGGCTGCCCGGCGCACTGCTGCACGTGACACATTCTCCAGCACCCCTAGCTTCGGCGTTGCCCCTGTATTCCATTAGGTCTCGTCTGGTGCAAGGGTGTTGTCCTGCCTCCATGGGTCCCACTCACGTCGCTTGAAAACTGTTGGGCTATTTTCCTTGCAGAAAAGTTCCTGCTTCAGCTCCACTATCTCACGAGGTGGGGGTCGCCTGCCTTCTTTGTACTGATGCATCGCGGAGCGCAGTCTTAACACAAATTGGAAGCGGCTGTCTGCACGGGCAACGGTAGGGAACATTACGCTGTTTACGTCCGACAGTCTTTCCATCAGCGACTGCCACCAAGGTCGATTACTAGTTTCGACCTTAGTCACTGCGAAAATGCTCCACAGGTAATCCATCATGATAAAACGACGCCCCAGTGGGCCTGCTAGGTAGGCCGGCGAAATGCGGCCAGTCCCAATAGACCTCGTACAAGCTCCATAGCTAACGAGATTCTCAGTTAATCGCAAAAGGGCACGAAGGTCGGAGTAGCCCAGCCGTGGTTTCAACAACTGCTGCCGAATGGGCTGTAGTATCTGAACAAGGCTTAAACGAGTAGGATTTAGCAAAGCTGTTTCCCAGTCAAACTCCAGTGTTCGCCCCTCCGGGTCGGCCGTGGGAAGACGATAGAACAAATGGCGACCGTAAATGAGGTTCTCAGAACACTCTCCTGTACACGGTGGAGAGGGTTCAGAAGGTGTGGGAGACTGCATGAAGGTGCAGACGCATACAGAGCACAGAAAGTAAACATTCACTCAAAAGACACTACAATAGAACATCGAAAACAGCCGAAAAGCGGGCGCGCAGCATCGGGCGTCACAAAAAGGTAGAGCAGTGATACTGTGAGGCGCCAATGCCTCCCCAGTTCTTAAAACACTCAGTGTCGACATTGGTTTTTGGTTTAGCGTATATTAGGGATATTGCCAGATGCCAATACCTTCCCAGTTATTAAAACAAGCAGTTTCAACATTGGCGTTTGGTCTACAGTACGTTTGGTTCAACACTTATCATCTGAACTAAAATTTTACGCACAATTGAGCGCCGGTGAAGGACATTATTAGCAGGCAGAGGCGAGCCCACAGCTGAGCTAATTGCAGGAATATTAAGTCAGATGAATGTGCATAACAGAAAAGACTGCATTATTAATGTGCACTCCGTCGCGCAGATGATGAACGTCACTGCCTCACCACAGAAGCTGCGAGCATGCTACGGTGCTTATTGCTTGTTGGTACTTGACCAAGACGGAAGGAGTGAGTTTTAGCAGCATCGGAAATTGCCGTATGGGTTTCACGATCCTTCTGTAGCCCAACACAAGGACGGAGAACATTCTTCTCCAGATACAGGATAACATTAAAAAAAATAAGGCGAAATGCGGGGCAAGCTTTCGAGG